AAAAAAAAAAAAAAAAAGGAAGAAACAAGAATGTCACTAAAATGTGTCGAGGAGCGCCTTGGTGGCTGAGTCAGTTCTGCCTCAACTCTTGATTTCAGTTCGGGTCATGATCCCAGAGTCTGGGACGGAGCCCTGCCTCAGGCTCCAGGCTCTGGGCTGGGTGTGGAGACTGCTTCAGATTCTCTCTTCTTCTCCCTCTGCCCCTCCCCAGCTCATCCTTTCTCTCTCTCTCAAAGTAAATAAATAAATAAAAATAATAATGTGTAGAGAAGTGTTACAGGCGGACAGCCTACCTCAATGTTGACGCTGGAGTAAGGCCACCCAGAGCCAACCAAGGACCCAATCTAAAAAGAGATGCTCCTTCATCATCCTGGACCGTGTACTTTCCAACGCACAGAGAGCAGATACGGGCTACTGCTCACATCAGCTTAAACACTGCCCAGAGGCCAGGCGGGGTTAGGTTACGGAGTTCTTGTGGACTGGGCGGTCCCCGCTGGCAGCACAGCTGGTCATCGCTGTCGTCACTTTGGGGAGAATGCCCTCTTGCAACCTTCAATTTCATCCTCTGTGAAAGAGCACCCTGGCTGGGTTGCTAGGACAAATCTGCCAACGTTGGTTCCTTTCTCCCACCTTTCCTGGGTCGCCTGAGCATTACTTAGGGTTCCCGAGGGAGACTGCGGTCTCCTCTGCTTCCCTACCCTTGCCCAAGAACAGGTAGCTTTTTTCTGTTCTCTATCAACTCTTTGTAGTTTAAGGAAAATCCACTCCCATTCCCGTCTGCCTGGGACCTTCTGTTCAGCCCAGGCCCCCCGGACACCCCCCCACACCCCCACGGCACACCGCTCTGTCGCAGAGCCAGGCCGGCCGGAAGGGCAGGTGGTGCGACCCGGCCACATACCTTCTCCTGGGCCCTGCTGAATTTCTTCTGCACCTGCTTGGCGAAGAGGCCGGCGGCGCCACCCGCCTTGCCCTCCGCCATCCTGCCGGCTCCGGGTAGACTGGGCCCAGCGACCTGTGGTTTTCTGGAGGCCCCCAAGGAGGAAGTGCGGTTCCCAGCATGCCTCGCATCCGGCCGTGGCCGTGGCCGCCCCGCCCCACGCCGCTCGAGACCCCCACGGGCTCTCCGAGAGGCCCCCTCCCAGCGCCGCCACGGTGGCCCTGAGGCCCCCACGCCCACCGCCGCTCAGCCCCCCGCCCCGAGGCCACCGGGCACTTCTGGAGCCCAGGTTGGGGGCTGCACCTGTTCAGGAGGAGGCTGGAAACTTGGGCCTGCCCTCAGGCGGCGCTCAGTCAAGACCAGCGTCAGTGCTGCGCAGCCCCGAGGGACAGGCGCGCCAGCCCCAGGGAACCGAGTTTTCTCCTGCGAGCCAGGACACGTTCGCGCCAGAAAGCCGATTCGCCGAAACCCTCAGCACCGGGAAGCCACTGGAACGATGGGGTAGAAAAGATCGCGATCTCCACTTAGCACGGGGATTGACCACATCGGGGAAACGTTTCACGTCCGCGGGCACGTCTCCTGGGTTGTCGAGTAAAATGCGCTTCTGGTGCCAGGGATTTTCAAGATGGAAAGCCTCTGCGGAGAGGTTGGCAGTAAGCCTAGAACTGGTAGGGATAGAGCGCGGAAAGGGACAGGACTCCACAGGCGGATTTGAAAGGGAGCAACAACTGAGCCAGAGGTAGAAATGGGGGTCCCCCGGAAAGGAGAGGATCTTACTGGAAAAGGACTGGGGAGGAGAGAATGGAAGCTCGTGCTGGGGTGGGGGGGAGGGGGCAGACTTTCTGGCTGGACAGACTAGGGCCTGTACTGGGTGGAGGCAGAGTGAAGACAGACCAGGAAAGTGGGGACGAGGCTGCTGAGATTACATCTGTGCCTTCCCGAGGGAGAAGGTTCCCGAAAGGAAGTTACTTCCTGTCTCCCTTGAGGGGATAGCTGGAAATTAGGAACAGTAGGTTTGGAGGAACCATTTACTCACGGATTTTACAGCGGAGGTAACATTCCTCCAGGAAGGGAAGAGGATCAAAATAATTTCCTGAGGAGTGTGGAGAGGGAGGCTTGTCTTCGATTGTTTTACAGGCCATTCCCCCAAACAGACATACTGCCCTCAGGGTCAGCTGTGTGCGGGCATTGCTGGGTGTTGGGAAACCGAGATAAAATTAAAAAAAAAAATTTTTTTTAACATTTGTTCATTTTTGGGGGGGGGGGGAGAGGCAGAGAGAGGGAGACACAGAATCCAAAGCAGGGTCCAGGCTCCCAGCTGTCAGCACAGAGCCCCACGCAGGGCTTGAACCCATGAACTGTGAGATCATGACCTGAGCCAAAGTTGGATGCTTAACCGACGGAGCCACTCAAGCGCCCCAAGATAAATTTTTAAAAATGCAGTCTCTGACCTCAAGATGCTTGAAGTCTGAAGGTGGAGATGGGCTGGTCATCAGACGATTATAATATTATGTGCTTAATGCATTTATAGAGGTGGATACAAAATTGTCAGGTTCTACATCATTAGGGTTTATTCTGGATGTTCATCGTGGGGCTGTTCTAGAAGGGGTGAGAGTACAGAAAATGGAAGGACTTGATGTTGGATGGGAAGAAGAGGGGAGAAGGCCAGAGGATGGCGGTGCTGTGGGAACACTGAGAGAAGATGGTGATGATAACAGGTCTGTCACTAGCAGAAGGAGGGCAACACCGATGTCACTCACAGGAGTCCACGGCATCCTCAGCCACACAGCCCCCAGCCACTGCTTCCTAAGAAACTCTCTTCCATGCCAGTCTCTTGGGAACTGAAATTGATGATCACCAAATCCTGTGGTTTTAGAGCACGGACGATCTTCAGAAGTTAACTAGAGGAGGAAAGTGAGTCAGAAAAAGCTGGTGACTTGCCCAGAGGCTCCCCGGTTCCTCGGTGTTGGAATTGAGATGGGGACGCAGACGTCCTGACCCAGCTTCTTACAGTGCATGCCTACACTGTTCCAGAGGCCTCTGCTGACTTAGCAGCCTGCACATTCCAGGACCAGTCTTAGCCGGTTTCTCCTGTTATAATGTTAACTACCTATTCCCTCCGGTCTGGTCCTCTGTGATCGCTATGAAAAGCTGCTTCTCAACCTCTTAGCCTTCTTTCGGTTCCCTGGTTCCCTGTTCGTTCGATTGTAGGCCACTCCAACAGACTGAGCCCCGGCCAGGATGAGGCAGACTTATCAGCTTCCCAGTTCTCTGTGGTTTACAGAACCCTGGATCCGGTGGTCTATTTCAGTCCTGGCCTTGACATGCTGACTCACACTTAGCTGGAGGCCCTGTATTGCGGTCTCTTCTCCCTTTTTGTTCTGCTCAACCCTTTCCTTTCTTCGTTCGGTATCTTCTCCTTTTTTTTCTATTCTCGCCTCCCTAGCCTCCTTTGTAATTTGTCACTTTCTTTGTCTGCTGGCATCTGACCTACTACTGAAGCCTATCCTCCGATCTGTAGTGTTTCCTAGCAGTTACCATCGCCCAGAACCGTGGGGCGAGCGCCTGTTCTAGGCACTGGAGTGGGGAACAAAAGAAGGATGAGCCCACAATCTACCTGGGAGAGTCAGGGCACGCTTCGTCACTCAAGAACATTCGAAAGCACTCTGTGCCTTTGCATATAGCAAATGTACATGGGAGAAAATACCAGGTGGGCAGATTAATGGCTAGGTGGGTCCTAAAAGGATGCAAAAAAGAGTAATGTAAAACCACTCCCGCTTGGCGTCGTTTGTGAAATGGCAGTAAACGGAAGATCCAGCACAGAAATGTGAAATCCAACTTGGGTCCTATAACTCCATTTCCTCTAGAGGGCCTAATGGCGAACAAAAAGACTCAGGATGATCATGCATATTCAGTTTTATTTGCTTTTCTGGATCTGGCTCAATGGCCTCTCAGAATGTTTTTTTTCCTTGATGGCCTCAAGTCCTTTCCTGGGTCTAAGCATCATCTTGGGAAGGCCATGGGATTCGGGAAGACGTTCAGTTGGAAGCAATGACCTGAAGGAAAAGCCAATATGTCCACAGTCAGTAACTTCTGCCTCCCTCCCTTCTGTTTTCTTCAGGGCTCCTGGTTGAGTGTAGCCCGGCCCTGGGTTTCTGAGGGGAGGGAGGCTAGGTGTATGTTAGGAAGTAGGTCTCAGCTGTGTCAGGACAATTCAACGTTCTAGGCACATATGTAGCACCTAGTGGCAAGAATAGGCCTTGAAATGGTTGTGAATCAAAGTTCACGCCACGAGACTCCAGAGTGTGTTTGAAGGCTAGAGGGCATAGGTGGGATGATTGTGAAGCTACCACCAGGTCAGTGTAGGTAAAGCCTCATCTAACCTTCAAGCATCATCTAAGGTAGTAAAACCTCTTGCTAAAGGGTAGAGCAGATTCTCATAATGCCCTTAGAAAGAGCTCATGGGAGAAAATGTTAGTGACTCTTCCCTTTCCCAGGTGCACGCAGGACTTTCTGAAGCTGTTTTTCTCTTGGCTTTGACTTAGGACAGCACTGCCATATGTCCGGTTGAGGTCTGCTGTTGTCACCACCTTACCCTAAACAGTAAGCACTTGGGTGATGTCGGCTGAGCGGGTATGCAGAGGGGAACTTGGGATGGCAGCATTATTGAGGGGAGATGCATCATGGAGGCAAGGGAAAGGAGTAAACGAATGTGGTAAGGAAGATGATGGCCTCCCTGTCCAATTATCGCTCCCTAGCCCCGCCAGTGTATGGGTCTCCAGGTGACCCTGTTTCAACCTGTCATTTGAGAGCACTTACATTACTGATCCAGGAGATGTAAGCAGAGACCCGTGTGAAGACTGTGGGCTTCCTGGAGACGTTACAGCCCAGACTGGACACGAAACTGGTCACTCCATGGACAGCATACTTGCCGTTCACAAGGCAATGGAGAGGGCCCCCAGAATCACCCTGCAGGGACGAGAAGGAGGGTCCTAAAACTCCATTTAAAAATCTTTGGACCTTTGCTTTTGCTTATACCCCACTTCTGCATGCAAACCCTGTGCAGTTTTAAAGCTCCAATTCAAATCCCTACTTCCTTCATATCCCCACAATCCAGATGAATCTCATCTTCCTGTCCTTTCTTTTGCTGCACTTAGGTCATGTTCTGCCTTGTATTTTGGTTTCATAATTTGTTTCTACCTGCCACACCTATCTATGAGCTGTTTGAAACAGCTTTTTGAGACTGTGTCTTCCTGACACGTTCCCTCTCCACAGTGCTGGCATAGAAGTTTGAATTCTTAAGCTCAATAGCTTTTATTGACTTAAATCGAACCTGGGAGTGGGGGGAGTAGGGTGTCCTCATTGATGTCTTCATCCCCAGCATTTAGACCAGTGGTTCTAATTAGACTTAGCCTTTAGACACAGGGTAAGTAGTCAACACATGAAACTAAACTGGGGTGAAGGGGAGAGAAAATGATACATTGGGTAATGGTTACATGCTCAGGCTTAGAATCAGAGGAACCTGGGTTTACCTGGACACTCTCCTCCTTACTCAGCTCCCAGGATGCCAGTTCTATAATTCCAGACAGAAAATCAAAAGATAGTTCTCTGGAAAATCTGACCAGCACAAGAAGGAAGACCTAAAGATCCTGCCATTAGAGGTCCCCCACTGAAACCACCAGACCTTCACTAGGTCACCCAACAGACCAGTTCAGCGTGGATGAATCCCACTGAAGGCTCACGGCTACTGATCAGCTTTTTATTACCTCACTCTGAAATGAAAGCAGATGGTCAAGGAGTACCACACATCTGAAGAAAGCCTCTAAGATAAAAAATAGAATTCAAAATGAAGAGACAAAGAAATAAACAAAAAATGAAGGGGCAGCCAAGGGTATGCAGGGAGAAGGAAACAAGCAATAAAAACCTGTGATTAGTATTGCATCCATGATGCAAGAACAGCATACTGCAAAACGAAACATTCAGAAAACAAAAAGAGCCTTCGAAAATTATGAGTATGATAGTAGAAATGAAATGTTGCAAGGATTGGAAGATATAGTAGAACAAACAAACAAAATATAGAGAAACTAAGAAAATAGGAGGACCGTCTAAGGAGGTAAATAGGTGAATAACAGAAATTCTAAAAAGAAATTCTAAAAACTATAAAAAATGGAAGGAAAGAAGTCATCAACAAACAAACATTTTCAGAACCAAAGTTCTGGAGTTTCTAAAATGAGAAAACCCACCAAGGCTCTCTCACGACGACTGCAAATAAACCCATACAAAAACACAAAATACTGGGGTCAGGAGAGGGTAAAAGAAGTCACTTAACAAATTAGTGGGGAAGTGTGGGGCCGAATCAGTGATAAAATGGACATATATTTTACCGATTTAAAGACAGTTTTTTTTTTTTTTTAATTTATTTTTTTTTCAACGTTTATTTTATTTTTGGGACAGAGAGAGACAGAGCATGAACGGGCGAGGGGCAGAGAGAGGGAGACACAGAATCGGAAACAGGCTCCAGGCTCTGAGCCATCAGCCCAGAGCCCGACGCGGGGCTCGAACTCACAGACCGCGAGATCGTGACCTGGCTGAAGTCGGACGCTTAACCGACTGCGCCACCCAGGCGCCCCTAAAGACAGTTTTTAACTCCAGGGAAAACAAAGTTCTGCAGGAAATGAAAAGTGATTTTAGAATACAACATGGATAAGAGTTCAGGCCTTAAAACAGAAGGAAATCTTGCCATTTGAAACGATGTGGATGGACCTCGAGGGCAGTGTGTTCAGTGAAAGCAGTCAGAGAAAGGCAGATACAGGATGATCGCTCTTACTGGTGAAATCTAAACACAAAACAAAACAAGCTCATAGATACAGAGAACAGAGTGGTAGTGGCCAGAAGGGGAGGGGGGAGGAACGGGAAAAAAAAAAAACAACCCAAAAACGCTTCCCTTTCTCATGAACTCACTGAAGGATTTGCAGCATCAAAGAAGAAAGAGAAATACAGGAACACAGGACTAGCGACCCACAATAAAGCATATGCATGCTTGTGTGTGCCAAGCCTGTCTCTGAAAGGATGGAGACAGCCAGGAACAGCCGTCAACTCCATGAAGATATATGTAATCTCACTTATAATGCTGCTTTTGATCACAACGCACTCTTCCAAAACGTTCCAACTGTTAAAAAGGAGACAGCAGGCCCAAAATAAAGTCACTTATGCTAAACTCCACCAAGACTTAATACCTAACCTAACGGTAGCTTCAGTTTCGCCCAGAAATGTGACCTTTAACCAGCCAACCTGGAATTTTTAGGTCAACGCTAGGCGGCAATGTGCTGATAGACCCCTTAGGAGGGCCACTTTGCCTAAAACAAGGCATTCTTTGCCACAGCTCAATGAAGCTGCTTTCTGTTCGCTCGAGGAGATGCTATCTGATTCATGAATCATTGAATGAAGCTACTTTGATCTTTAAATTTACTCAGCTGAATTTTTGTTATTTAACAGATTTGGTGGCAGAGGCCAGAGCAAAGGGCACTTCTGACAGCTTTGGGGACACCAAGAAACAGGCATAAAACTCTGCAAACACTGAGTTTACTGTCTTTCTCACCATTTCCAAGGGCCATGGGTAAGTCCCTCTGTCAATTCCATTAAGAATGAACTCTCATCACATCTTTAATAATGGGCATTTCTGGTCTTTTATCATGTACAGAGAGTTACTGTTTTACAAAAGCTTCCTGCAAATGTATTTTATCCTCAGAGAAATTCATGGAAAAGAATCTAATGGGTACTCTAGAATACAGGTTCCTGATAACTTTCAGATCAAGCAACTGAACTGGGTGAGAACTTCCAGAACTAGTGGGAAAAATGGATTCAAATAGGACAGATGTTAATTACATGGGCATGAGTGAATTGAGGAGGAGAGGATGATTATCATTTGTATGACTTCTTGTTTAAAACACTACTGGTTGTCTAATGTTTTCTTTTCCAGATTTTAGGAAACCTTTTTATCTTTTCTCTTAAGCTATCAACAATTTGGTAAGATATACATTTATGACCAAAGGTGAAACATTTACTTGTTTTTTCCCTACCTGATCCCTCCAGAATTAAAAAATTCTCAGGTAGTCTTTTCATGACAATATACAGTTGACCCTTGAACAACATAGGGATTAGGGACACTGACTGTCCCTCCCTGTGTAGTCAAAAATCCCTGTATAACTTTTTACTCCTCCAAAGTATAACTACTAGTAGCCTACTATTGACCAAAAGCCTTACTGATAAGAGAAACAATTAACACATATTTTATATGTTAGATGTGTTATATATGGTATTCGTGCAGTAAAGTAAGCTAGAGAAAATAAGATGTTATGAAGAAAATCATAAGGAAGAGAAAATACACTTACTGTTGTATATTTATTGAAAAAAGAATCCACATATAATGGACCCACACAGTTCAAGCCCATGTTGTTCCAGGGAAGCTACAGTGAGTTGTTTACATAGGTTCAATGAGAATCTGATCTCCTTGTAACAAGACACAATTAGAAACATTGGTTATATTACCAAAGCTCTGACTGGAATACCATATTTGAGAACATTATGCATAGACTCAGATATGACCAGACACTTTCAAGAAACTAAGATCAACTTGGGGTGCCTGGGTGGCTCAGTTGGTTAAGCATCTGGCTCTTGATCTCGGCTCAGGTCACGATCACACAGTTCGTGGGATCGAGCCCCACATTGGACTCTGCACTGACAGCATGGAGCCTGCTTGGGATTCTCTCTCTCCCTTTCTCTCTGCCCCTCCTCTTTCTCTCTCTCAAAACTAGAAAGAAAGAAAGAAAGAAAGAAAGAAAGAAAGAAAGAAAGGAAGGAAGGAAGGAAGGAAGGAAGGAAGGAAGGAAGGAAGGAAGGAAGAAAGGAAGAAAGAGAAAGAAAGAAGGAAAGAAAAGGAAGGAAGAAACTAAGGTTGACTTTACAGAGCCAATAAAGCCTCATGGAAAGATTGACCTGGCACTTTGCTTGTAAGATTCCAGCAAAGCAGTCTTAAAAAGAACTTACGTGGTCAGTCACTATTCTTGCTGCACTTATGTAAATAATCAGGCAAAGTTTAATGTAAACAAACTAATTCTTCTGTAAAAAAATGAAGGTAAGTGTAGAGAGACGAACTTATGTTTACACTATCATCTGTATTAGATTCTAATCCTGTTAATTGTCTCCGAGGTTCTATTACATACTTATAAACTGGATCCTGAATTCTTCTAGTTTCCTAAAAAAATCTGGCTCTGGCTCTTCAAATTAACATTTCCAATGTTCTCTCACCCTTTTGATTTGGAATCAATAAGAACACAGATTGCTCCTGAAAGTCCTTGGAAGGGACTACCCCAGGTCCTCCTCACCACCCAGATGGTGGTCAGACTCCAGGGACTTGGACATGCATCTCACAGCTGAAGAAGGTCCCACCTGACATCGGGTCCTACACAAACACTGGAGATGTTCCAGCCAAAGTGACTAGGAAGAGAAGTAGCTGACATGGAAGTAGACTGCTTCCTCCCAAGATGCCAGATCAAGACTTCATACTTTAACTGACTAAATACGAAACCCTTTCTTCTTCCCTTTCTTTCCTTCCCTCTGGAGCTGGCCTAGAAAGATCATGCCATCATCCATATCTCCTGGGCGATGGCTAAGGGGAATAACCTCTGGAACTTAGAACAACTTTTTATTTCAGGCTGAGAGAAGACCTAACTGGGCCCTGGCTTGAATGGACAAATGCAACAATCCCTGAGAATGAATTCATTAACAGTGCCATCTTACTGAGAAGTGTTTTGTGCCCTGAGAGGGGTTGTCTTTGTGGTAATTATCACTCCCCTTGGGCCTATGAATGACAAGATAGCTAGCACATAGCCAGGAAATGCCTTTTAGGTTATCCAACTGTGCCCCTCGGCTTTCCACAAATGAACTAAGACACCTCATTGTACAGTTGC